AACATACCAAATCTCGTTTTTTTATCTGAAAAACTAAAAAAAGTTATAGTGGTGAGCCACTTTTGAGACGCACCCGGTATATTAGATATCAGAGTTCTTCAAACATATTTCAACAGACTATTACGTTTTTAATTACCTCATCATAACAATATTTTCCTAATATAATTTTTCTTATCTATTTTGACCAACAACTGTACGTAATAACAACATAACATTACTTAACCCATTGTAAGTCACACAAAAAAATAATATACTTATTAAATTCATTGTATATTGATAAAAATATGTGGCAGATATGCAAACATAAAGAACAACCATTAATTTTCAAACAACTGCACAATGCATGTGGCCTATCCTAGGTCATTGCAAACAATTCTGTGAAATTAACACAATAATGTTATTAAATTTTAAAATGCAAAGACGTACATTACTTATCTCCTACTTATCAGCATTGTTTAAGCTTGTAAATACGTAGATATGTATACAAGAATATGAAACTTTATGTATTTATACTTATTATTAAATTAATTTTTATCCTAAATTAATCTGCTATTTATTTACTAGAGAGTTCTTGTCACATAACTTTTCGTTGAGACAGAGAAGATTTCGACAGATATCTGAATAAAATAAACATTAATTTTCTCATTGAAAGCCAAAAACCGATTAATATACAGGGCATCACGTTCAAAAAACAACTTAAATGTATTATAACTTTTCTGCGACACCCGGTAGAGGTCCTAATAATTTTAAAATAGCGAATCCATATCGCGTATGAGAGACGCCAACCTGTATACTAATAATTACTAATCAAGTGCTAAATAAGAATACCTACTATACGATAAAAAAACGGTGTAAGAGATGGCTTGGAAATAAACCTTGCCGTCATTTTGTATGTAAAATTAAGGGAAATGGCATTGATCTTCATTTCCACGCTAATTGGACGCCATTTTTTTTTCGATGATACGTTGTATGTTTGTAGAAATATTTTCTTTTAATCATCAAATTCGATAAAGCTTACTGCAAACCACCTGCATGAATAAATTGTTGAAAAAAAAAACAAATATGGGAGATATTACCCCTATACAAATATGCAAATTATGGTAATTTTCGTATTTGAACCGATCGATTTTCGTGAATTTTATAAATGAGAGTTCAATTTAAAAAATATAAAGTGAATATACCATTCTGGGCAATTCATCTGCGTGGTCTGTATTTTAATGCATGCGACAGAGATAAATACATATAAATGTATACAGTGTTGCCGGTTTTTACGTGTGTAGGAAAATGTGGTAGAAAAAATAAACTATTTTAAGAACTTTCATGTATATTACTGAAATCAAGATAATATATCTAAGCTAAATATAATCTATTACAGTTGTAGTAAAATAAGCAGGTATACTCTGTTTTTTTTCTGAGGTAAGATTTCGACAGACGATGACAGAAGAAAAGCAAATGACGTCCCATACCAATCTATTTATTTTACTAAAAAAAAAGTTTCTAATATTTTTTAAGTTAACTATGGATGGGATTAAATATAAATCCGTCATGCGTCGTCTCTTGTTGTTTTTAACAAGTTTTATTGGTTTATTTCAAAAATGACAGATCATATTTCAATTTTATTGGTTTGACGGAACGCTGAACGAAAAACGAACGCAGATGCGTATGAACTCGCCTTTAGATTTTTGAGACTTGTCAAAGTCTTGCCAAATTATAGGTTATAATTTTGTGTCAACTTATGTCAAATATCTGCGTTTTGGAAGATCGCATTTTGATTCGTGTTATTACGTGTGTTTTGTGTCTTTTGAAGTGGAGGAAAAATTGAGGGAAAATTAACTGTAGACCTAGAAGCACAGTTTATAGTTAATACTCGCTGCCCAAGCAGAAAGTCTTATACACCAATAAAGTTACCATCAATAAAGTTTGTATACCATCGCGTCGTAGATAAGTGCATCTCGTATATACTACTGGAGTAGCTGTAAAATATCGACATCACACGACAGGTAAATAATGGATTATAGTACTGCAGAAAAATAATGTCAAAAGGTACTGGTTTAAAAAAATTAAGATTAAAGTTAATTAATCATCCTTTAAGGTATAAAATTTTTTTGGGCAACGGCCCAGCTACGTCGGAACACCGGTTCTCATTAGAACACCGAAGTTAAGCGACGGAAGGCGATGCTAGTGGATGGACGGGTGACCGGTTCGAAACTTTGCATCGTGCTGTTGCCCAAGGGAAAAGTGTAAAATCTATTGATACACACTGCTCATTCACGCCGGTTCAAGGCCGGATGAGATCGGATATCTCGTGAGTAAGAGTTAATTTAGACACTTCCTAAGTCGGTAGGCCATTGACCATGATATGGCCGAGGACCGCGGTTCGGATTCCGCGTAAACAAAGTAGGTCCCGTCCAGTTTAGCCATTGCAGCAGAAAGGAGACGTTAACTTGAACCTCACATAAATTTTTTTAAGTGTTATTATTAATAAAATAGTTTGTTTTATTTATGTTGTTTTATTTGTTCCTGTGAAATATTACAAATTTGTATTTGTACATAAATTATATTAATAAATATAATAATAAATGCGGGAAGTTTCTTGAAGCTTGAAAGTAAGAAATAGTTCTTTTTTATATTTTTTGGTATGTGGTGTTTTGTTCTTGTTTTGTATTAACACATACCGTTTTTTTTAAATAAAATAAAATTTAAAATTAAAACGAGAGACACATCTATCTCTGTCAAGGATCTTTTCGTTGGACAGACTATAACCTAATTGTGAAAAATAAAGTTCCAACCCTAGGTGCAATATTTTTCGTAAAAGCCTACTTGTGCGGTTTGAAATTTTGATGCAAAACCCGACAATACCGCTTAGAAGAAATGTATGAATCCCACTTTTATCTCTTATTAATACATTTGATTTACCATTAAGCTGTCTACATCACTGTCTTTCACATTAAAATCCAGACCACACAGCTTCAATGGCCAGATTGGTATAATAAAATTGAAAGAATTAATAAAAGACGTAAAAAAACAACAACAGAGTAAGGAAATCCTCAACCACAGTTACTAATGGAACGTTAGACTGTATTTTCCATTTGATATAACAAATACATTCTCTAGTAATATTAATTTTTATATAATATATGACAAAGAATTTACAAAATTCTCCTAGAATTATAAAAATTTCTCAATTTCTCTGAGACTTTTTGCTTCATGTATTTAGCAAGAAACATCAGAAATATTAAAAAATAGTTCCAGAACAGTAAAATAGAATAATTAAAAAAATAATAATGATTGCTAATAATGACAATGACAGTTGTTATCTGTCACTTTAATACCAGTATAAATTGTTTATCTGTCAATATTTGTATGTCTTCTTAAAGCCTATTACAGAACAAACACATTAAATTAATAAAAAAATAAAAAGTGTAATTTGTAATTTGTCTCTTATCCTAAAATATTTTTAAGTATTCTTAAGGTATACCAAAAAACTAAATAATTTTCAAGCAAATACGTATGTTATTTTTAGTAAATCAACAAGCACAAAATAAATTATTCAAATATTTGCTAATGTTACATGCAGCTGCTTAAAATGTAGAAAATATGACAAGAATAAACATCTCTGAACAAATGGAATATTCTTAGTGTCCCTTTTCATACATAAAAACAAAGTATTTAAATAAATAATATACAGGGTGTCCCAATATTCCGTGGACATACAACTACTATGTATTTTTGGAGTGAAAATAAGTTCACAAATAAAGTTAGATCATATAAGTTCACAAAAACTATGCGATGTAGCGTTTTTTTACAATAAACAAAAAATATAGTAAATACTAGAGGTACCATTTACCATTTTATGAACAGAAAATCTGTCGTCAGTTGAGTTGGAAAATATTTATACTAAAATTTATGTAGAGGTGGAAGTAGTTTTCAACCTTCCCATACCTTTTCTTCATTTTTGTGAAAGCCAAATGTTAAAGCACTTGCCAAAATATAGACACCAAAAATCTCATTCAAATCGGAATAACGGTTCTTAAAATATCTGAAAAATTGTGTTAATTTTTTTAAAATTTGATGTCCTCTAGCGGACAAACAAAGCACTTTTATATAGAGATAAATTGTGTCCAATTGTGTATTTTGATTCCAAAAATACAAGTAGTTCTATGTCTACGGAATATTGGGACACCCTGTATATTGCAACCTGTATCTTCTAGCATTCTTATTCAAAAACTTTTTGCTAAAAACCTTAAAAAATAAAAAAAAAACATAAAACTAAAAGGTCATTGGGTGAACCAAAATAACTTGATAAACATCAAACTGAAAAAATAAAGAACGCAAAAGCATATTTTTTACTCATTAAGAACATAAATAACTAAAAAATCTTGTACATTAATTTTAAACATAAGGTGAAAATATTTCAATCGCACAATGTTTTTTAAGTCTTTAAGCACCGTTAACTGTTTAAAAAAGCCAGACTGTTCAATATTTTCAAACAAATACATGATTAAAATTCACATCACGCTGAACTGCTTAATGCAACACGGATCTGAGCATGAAAAATTTCATTTACCAAGTAGGTATCAAAATATTTATAAAAAAATAAGACGTAAGAAAGAACTGATTTCATTCATAATGATGCTAAATGTTCAAACCATTCTACAACATTAGAAATATTATAATTCTTTTTTTTGAAATGCCATATCCTTTTATGCATCACCAATAAAATAAATATTTTTATATAGATAAAGGTTAATAACATTGGTAAGTTTACTAAATAATACTAAATTATATGATAGATAGAATACATAGATTACTAAAATTTATAACTATTGTACTCAAACCTGTAAAAAATTTTGGTTTCATAGTATGTGTACAAAAACAGGATTCTTCAAGATCATTGTTATATTCTTCTTTATAATAAGCATTATGACGAAGTCTTTCTTTGATATCGATAAGCTATGTGCAAACAAACTGAGTTTAATAATTTATAATAAATGTCTTACCTCCACCCTGCATCATCCTGTAAAATTTTGATTCTATGTGTAGTTGAGGATGTTTGGTTTTTATACATTCTAGTTTAATAGCTACCTCTTCTCCGGTGGAAATATTTGTGCCTGAAACGAAAAACAGCCGTTCAACGTGAGGCTCAGCAGGTCCTTTTTTAGGCAGGTCTTTGTTTACAAATTAAAATGTGCTCCTACGTCGAATCTTACCGAGGTAAATGTCTCCGAATGAACCGGATCCTATTTTGCGTCCGAGCCTATACTTATTTCCCACTCGCAACTCCATCCTTTTAAGAAAATCGAAAACTTTAGTCAACAAAAAACATGAATAAAGTCGTTTCTTCAGGCGGCCATATTACATTAGCCAACTATCATAGAAATTTGACGTAACCTAGCGGATCTTCTGAGACTGTTTCACGTTCACTATAAAATTGAGGTGCGGTCTGAACGTTGCGACGGGTTACAACTTGAATATCACAGGAAAATCACTATATGAAAACCACTACGTCGAGACCATTATCTTTCGATTTTTCCATAAAACTTAACAACACGAACAACTGAGAATTGAATCCATAGATAACTTGAATTGTATCTAGTTTTTGGTTTGACACTTCGCACCAAGCTCGAACATACGACCTGTCGCCGTCTCTCTAGATTGTAAGGGAATTCAGGTGTATCAGCTGATAAACGTCAGTCTGAACTAGGTTCATATCCAATCAGTCAGGTAAAAATGTAAAGAACAGCCAATTAGCTTTGTGGACATCTGTCATCTGTCATTTCTACCATACCCCATTTACCGGCAACCTTCAAATCGTTTCAAAATGCAAATTTATTTCAGGTTTTACTTATTATACAATTAATTAGCTTTTTAATCATACTTTTATACATACACGTTATTTTGCAATATATGGAACAAACCAGGTAATAAGTTTATCAAAGAAAAGTTAAAATAAATAAGAATAAGGATTATTTTTTTATGTTTTTACAACAATAATTATTTGTAAAGGCAATAACACGCTGGTATTCTAATAATTATTAAACTACAATTTTACCATTTTATACTCAAGCATTCAGACAATACCCAAAATCTTATTAGCCTTGGAAAAATCTCTGGAAAAAACCAAGAAAATTTTTCAAAAAGAATGAACTTTAGATTTATAATTAGTTGCTCTATTACTAGATGGCGACACAATACCAAAATTCTAAGAAAATTTGATATCTGATGAAAAATATATAGAAAATTAGCGTCAACAGCCATCTAGTGGCGGTATAGCTATCCAAAAGATTATGTCGTTTCTCGATCGGTAATCATAACGTTCATTCCATTTCGCAACCGCCTACTTTTCAATTCTGCCGGTCAGTGACCAAACTACGTGTATTCCGAAGGTTTAGGCACGCTGTGGATTAAATACGTGCATTAGAATTATTTTGTGTTCATATGAAGTTAAAAAGTGTGTAGTTTATTGTTTTTAATTGTGTTTTACAAGGTAAATATTCTGGGAATTGTTATTTTGGAGTTTTGTGTCCAGCAGGCGTTGCCTTAAAAATAAAAACAAGTGGGGTTTGACAGTAGAAGAGTCGTTTGTTTTGATTAGAATTTTAGTAAATATTTTTGTTTAATGCAGTTATTTTGTATTTGTGCATATAATTTATTATAAGCTATATTGTGAAACATTGTTCTTTACTTATTTTCGGGTGTTTCAGATAGGAAAAGGAACCGGTGAAAATGTTTAAATTTATTAAGGGAAAGCCTCACCAAACAGCAGAAAGGCACAAGCTACAAAAGGAGCTATTTTCGTATCGCAGGGTAAGTGAATTACTTTTTCAAATAGTTTTAAGGTGACACATTTCGTGTAAATGCTAGGTAATCTTTCGGGATAAAGTTTACAAGATCATAAATAAGCTTCTTATCTGCTGCTCAATATCTTATCAAAATAAACATTACAAATGTTGATATAACAGGTGTTTAGTAATTTTGGTAATATTAATATAGGACAAAGAAAGTGTTTGCATCAGTTATATTTTTGGTCATAATGAAAATAAAGTTTATTTTGTTTTTTTAATATCTAAAGTTGTATTTATTAATAATAATGTATGGGAACTGAAAGGTGTAATTTTAAAGTAATTGTCTTTTACATATTATACATTTTAATGAAAACATAACATGAATTTTGGTATGTTTTTATGTAGATTTGAACAGGTATACTAAATTTATCATTTCACTGGGAAAAAATAATTAATTCTAAAGTAGCTACCTAATAGTAAGTTTATTGTGTTCATGAAAAAGTTTTTTCAATTATTAAAGAAATTTACACATAATAATGTATTTTTAATAGTTGTGAATTATTTACTTGATGGTAGGGTAATTATAGAAATAGTATCACACTAGTTTGTTATTACAGAGCATGTTTAATTTTAACTTGCCACATTCCAATAATAAAAGAGCATTTTTTTGTATGTACCTACATTATGTATGTATGTATTAATGTATGTTTTTAGGTGCACAAATGTAATTAATCTCAACAATTAGAATATTTTTAAGTCATTTTTTACTTCATGCCTCAATGTAATAATAATTCTGAAACAAAGTGCCTGTATTATTTGTGGCAACTCCCCGATAGGTGTGGTGTTATATAATATATATTTCTACACAAATAGAGCACATTTGTACAGATAAAAAGCATGGTTTAAGAACTTTATTGTTTTAATGTGTTGAATATGTTATTACTTCTAAATTATAGTTGTCTATCTGATTTACAGTACCTGATGATAGGTAGGTAGATATAATCAATGATTAATTACCATTATTAGTTGTAATCTTAAGCGGGATTTACACTGTATCATTTTTGATGTACCTACACTACATTCAAAGTGAATCACTCGAGAGTGAAATCACATAATGTAATCATATATCATCCTAGTTTACATATTTTCATCCAGTTATGTTTCACTGGTTTCCCATGAATTACAACTGTTTCCTATTTTATGTCTGTGAAATGGTATTGTATTAGTATTTACTAAGAGTGGATCCCAAGTGGAACCCTCCACTGTGGCCGTGAGGGCCTATGCCTATTGTGACTCAGTTCTCACCATAACCCATTTATTTAGGTACCATAAGGTGTAGCTTTTTAAGACGAATAATATGCATCAAAATCAAATTAGCAAAAAATGGAATTTTGTCAACACATGCCTAGGTTAATTTTAATAACCTAACTTAACCGAGCCACAAACATTTTGCAATTTTTTTCAATTATCGTTATTTTTTTATGTTATTTTACATAATGACAAGGTAGCTTTGGCGATTATTGCTGTGTACGATTGAATATGATTCTTAGTGTTGGAGATTGTGCAAAAGTCATTAATTTTGTTGAAGATGGCTGAAATTATGAATATTTGCTTTTTTTTTCCACGATAAGGGGCCGTCCTCTGCCGGAAACACTGCGACCTATGAGGTCTATTGTGTTTGTCCCCTTTCTATATCTGCACCCATTCTCCTATCCCTGTGCCCTGCACTAACTTATGCAGGTCCTTGATAAGATGGGAGTGTAGTTCCTCCGGTTCTAGCCTAGCTTTCCCAAATAAAAAGTGTCGCTTGCGATCCAGAGCCTCGCAGTGACATATTATGTGCTCCGCTGTTTCAGGATCTTTATCGCAGAGTCTGCAGCAAAGACTTCCTTGATACAGATTGAGCTTGTTCAGGTAACACTTGACAGCCATATGTCCTGTCAAGAGGCCTGTTGTAATCCGCAATTTATTCCTGCTAAGCATTAGCAGTTCTTTTGCGGTTTTGGAGCTAGGTCCTTGGATAAAAGCCTTGCTGTGCCTGTGCCCCTGTCTGTTTCTCCAGTGGACATTCTGCTTGTCCCTGATCCAGAGTTTTAATGCACTACGGGCCATACATTTGGGTATTCCCAGTACTGGCTCTGGACCAAGATAAGATGCCGATGATCCTTGCCTAGCTAGCTCATCGGCTTTTTCGTTGCCTTGGATGCCGCTGTGGCCCGGCACCCAGAATAATTTAATTCTGTTCCGTCGAGCCAGAGCTTCCAGTTCACCTAGGCATTCCCAGACGAGTCTCGACGATACCTTTGGGCTCATAAGCGCCCCAAGTGCCGCCTGACTGTCTGAGCATATATTGATGAGCTTATCTGAATAAGCTCTTCTATTGTTTTCTCTCGCACATTGTAGAATGGCGAAGATTTCTGCCTGGAATACGGTTGAGTGTTTACCCAAGGAAAAGGATAGACTTACCCTTGGTCTTTCCCCCAAATACTCCAGCTCCTGTTCCTTCAGCGGTCTTTGACCCGTCTGTATACCAGGTTAGTCCATCCTGAAGGAATGTTATATCTGTCCACATTCCTCGATCCATTTTGTTCACCTCGAATGGTTTGTGGTAGTGATAAAGAGGGGTCATCTGGTCCGATCTCATTTGGAGTAGAGGTCCCCGATAGGATTTCCATCTTTGTGTGTCCTGTTTCTGTCCTATTTCCCAGAGACAAGACACTTTGTTGTCGATAGAGTCCCATTCTTGCCTCCGCCTGGATCACTATGTGAAGAGGCGGAAGGTCCAGAAGCGCCTCCATTGATGCAGTGGGCGTTGATTTCATCGCCCCTGTTATGCTCAGACAAGCAAGTCTTTGCACCTTGCTGAGGCTGAGCATTGTTGTTTGTTTCATTACCTTAGGCCACCATACCAAGGATGCATATGTTACTGAAGGCCTCACCAGTGTACAGCCAGTGCACCATCTGTGGTCTAAGGCCCCAGATTTTTCCATGAAGGCGTCTGACTACCGCTTTTTGCCCCTACTCAACCCGTATTTGCCAATCGAATTTCTCATCAGTCGCTTCCGGAGTCCTGTCTGCGGTGATAAGCGTGTTTTTTGATATTTCTCGACAATAAATGACAACGAACAAGAAATAATTATGAGCTCCTTGCTAATAAGAAGAAGAAGAAATCTCGAGAAAGAATCGAAAGTTATAGCAAAGTTATAGGTTCACAATATTGGCAAAAATCCACATTCTTTCCATATTTAATTGAGGATGAATTAAAAATTTGTCAATATTTCATTATGAGCCTTGAAAATTTTGTAAACTTTCTTAACATATTGAATTTCTAATCTCCTCTTCGACTACCTACGCTACGTAGAGTGGAAGGAATTGCCTGTGACCTCAGCAGCACTAGCCGCATTTACCGAAAATCATTCTGGCCCAAAAATGCTGACCGCATTTTTGTCGATGCGATTCGTGCGGCTCTGGCTAGTGTGCGCGCCTTCATTGAAAGTAACGCAAACAATATTTTTCTTCGGTCGATGCGGCGCGTGCGGGTCTGGTCAGTGTGCGCGTACCTTAAAGGTAACTTAACATAAATGAAGGTGCGCACACTAGCCAGAGCCGCACGAACCGCATCGACGAAAGTGCAGCCAGCATTCTTGGGCCAGAATGATTTTCGTAAATGCGGCTAGTGCTGCTGACGTCACACGCAATTCCTTCCACTCTACGTAGGTAGCCAAAGAGAATTCAATATGCTAAGAAAGTTCGCAAATTTTTCATGGCTTATATTGAAATATTGAAAAAAATTTAGTTCATCCTCAATTAAATATGTAAATAATGTAGATTTTTGCAAATATTGTGAACCTATAACTTTCGATTCTTTCTCGTAATTTCTTCTTCTTCTATAAGCAAGGAGCTCATATTATTTCTTATTCGTTGTCATTTTTTATCGAGAAATATTTGAAAAAATACGCTTATCACCGCAGACAGGACTGCGGAAGCGACTGATGAGAAATTCGGTTGGCAAATACGGGTGTAGTAGGGGCAAAAAGAAACAAAATAGCGAATAATGCGGTGCGTGCGGCGCGTTCGGTACGGCTCAATGTGCGCGACAAGAAAAAAAGTGCGATTCGTGCGGCGAGTGCGGCTCTGGTCAGTGTGCGCGTACCTTTAGACCATTTTTTACTCTAATACTAAGTTTTTTGTTTGTTTGTACGCTTCGTTATTACAGTTATTTTTTTTAATGTCCTTAGTTTTGTTAGTGTTTTCGTAGCTGGTAACGTAGTACATATTCAATTTTTTTCTGTCACTTCCTGTTTCGCCGGAAATGACTACAACTTTTGATTTTTAAATGTTACCCTCGGTATTTTTTTACTTTATTCGATAGAAAATGACATTCTGAATAGAATGACATATCATATGTCAACTTTTGACATTTTTGCTTAAAATAAAATTGAATTTTAAATTTCAATTTAGAGTGCCATGGCTGTGTTAAAAACACTAATTTTTAATCGAGGAGCCTTGGAAAAATAGATTCGATCGTCTAATGTTATTTGTATCTTGTCCTGGCTGGTTAAAAGATGCCCAAATCGTATTTTTAATCATATCTCAATTTTTTCAAGTGGAACGAGGGTGGCTCATTAGCATATTTGGAAAAAACATTTTTTTAAGAATAATTTGGTACAACACACTTGGTATTTGTCGTCGAGTCAAATTGTCGTTATGAATCTCATGTTGCAATTTCAACTAAACCATATTCGAAAATGTCAAAGTTGACATAATATGATATGCCATTCTATTCAGAGTATCATTTTCTATCGAATAAAGCAACAAAAAACCGAGGGTACCATTTAAAAATCAAAAGTTGTAGTCATTTCCGGCGAAACAGGACGTGACAGAAAACAATTGAATACGAATTTATGTCATATATTAATATTACAGTTGAGGGTTGGAACCTTTGGTGTTACACAGCAAAATAAAAACACTAAATCACCACAATACACCAAAACACTTTTACTTTTACACTGGACGCGCGTT